TTCCCGAAGCAGTGTGTTCTTCAGCCTTCCTCTTTCCCGTTTCCCTTCAGGATTCCAAGTTATCGTTTGCCTTGTGGTGCAGTTTGATGATTCCCGTAATGTATGTCCTATCCACTTCCAATGTCTTCCTAATTTCCTCTTCAGTTGGAGGCTGGTTTGTTCTCTCCCACAGTAGGCTGTTGCTGATGGTATCCGGTCAACAGAAACGAAGTATCATGCGTAGATAATTGTTAATAAATACTTGTACGATTTTGATGATGGTTGTGGTAGTTCTCCAAGTTTCAGCTCCATACAACAGAACTGTCTTGACGCTCGTATTGAACATTCTGACTTTGATATTGGTCGACAGTTATTTTGAGTTCCATATGTTCCTCAACTGCAGGAATGTGGCTGATGCTTTGCCAATCCTTGCCTTTACGTTTGTATCCGATACTCCTTGTTCGTCGATGATGCTGCCGACCTGGTACGTAGAACTTTCCAAATCTTCCAGAGCTTCTCCATCAAGTGTGATTAAGTTGGTGTTCCCTGTGTTGTGTTTGGGGATCTTGCATTTTTCTTGGGTATGTTGAGGTCTACTGATACAGAGGCTGCTGCTGCTATGCTGGCTGTCTCGATCTGCGTTTGTTGGTGTGTTTGAGATAGAAGAAGGGCCAGGTCATCTGCGAAGTTCAAGTCGTGTAATTGATTCCGAGCTGTCCATTGTATTACATGCTCTCTCCGATGTGGAGATCTTCACTATCCAGTCAACCGTGTTTCTTGACTTTTTCTGCTCTTGCTGGGCTCTTGGTAATTATTGTCTTATTGTTGTTCCTTTGCAGGCTTTCGGGAGAGATTTTTTCCTTTTGGTGATACTTGTTTCGGTCTACGTTACTATGGTTTTTGTAAAGGATAACAGCCTAATGACTACTGAAAAATATGGATTTTCTCTGTGAGGCGTCGTAATTATTCCTTTAACTTTCAAGGCAGTATTAAGTGTAGTCAGGTTGAAATATGACTTTCGAATTGACGTAACTTATTAAAACTTGTCGAACTGTATTTCATTCATTATAGCAATTATTTTCTAACGCACTATAGATTTAAATATTTCTCAGTTTTAAGTTGCAAACACTTGAGTAAGTATGGAGATGCATTATTGCATCAGCTGTCCATTCGTTTTTATCCAAGTTTAATTGTTTTGTAAAGATTCAAACATGATGGATTATTCATAATCTGTCATACTGGTCTTGTATTTGTAGAAAGACACTGATTACTTTGTCAGTATCCTATCCCCTGTGACCACAACATATTGTCATTACAATCTTGGAACGTAAATAGCTTGTAAAAACAAAAAAAGTATTGATGTTTCAACACTGAGACTGTGACGCCAACTATATACCCAACACCACTGAAATGTCAAAATCGTGCCAAATTTTATGTTACGTAACTGGATTTGTTACCGGATATACCTAAAATGTCTTATTTTTATATTTGATACTCCGAATTAGAACTGTTTATTTACTCATCAAAAAAAAAATAAGAAGTAAGACAAACCACTTTACATAACTACTCATAAGCAATATAATGTAAAGTTATTCAATGGGTTACTGTCTAATTTTGTTAATAATCTCATTATTCTTAAGATTACTGATAACTTTTAATATTCAGGACACTTGAAAGTCATTGTAATCCTATGAGGTAATGCAGAAATTTCAGTTCATATATTGGTTGTTTGGGTCTTTCCATTAATGTTTAAGACTACAAATGATCAGTCGCTTTCGGTATATGTGAATCCTGTGTGGATTGCCTCGATATTGTTAGTAAGTCACAAGCATTTTCCACAAGCTATTGGCCATCTGGATTACCTAGCTAAGTTGATAATACGATAAAGTTTGGAATGGAGGGTAATGGGTAGGAGTTTCGGAATGAGCATCAACTCTGGTATTCGGGTATAACCAGCTGACCTGTCCGATATAGAACCAAATATGCATTTTAGATTCCATTACAAGCCACCATCCATCTGTAGTGTGGCGTGGAGTCGTGATTGACTATGAACACCACTACAAGAAGACTAGGTGCCAATTAATCGATAAAATCCACTGTAAGCCAAATATCAGAAGGCAGTTGATTGCTGTAGTCGAGATGTATTTGTTGGCGATCTCGTGGTATCGAAAGGATACCGAGATCGTGCCAAAGGAGTACAAGCATGGTTGCCGAGCGTAACCGAACTCGTGCAAGGTCACGATCGAAAGATAATGGAGCAGTAATATAGCTGTCTTTAGCACAGTTAAACAAACGATCAAAGTAAAACAATCACTGGTAAAATTGGTTATAATAATGATTGTTTCCATTAAATTAATCGCGTTCTCTTGATAAAAGTAGGTCACTACACATCTCTGCTTATAATGCAGAAGTTCTTTAAATTTTAATGTGTATTACAATGTCTTCTTCGGTTTATTTAAATCAATGATTAGTAAGTTTCTTAAATTATTGATGTTTATTTGGAAGTTAATAACTTGTTCTGGTTTAATGTGAAATATTTGGTCTTTTGTCTTTTAGTTGCCATTAATTAGCTCCACAACTGCTGACTGTTACCGATATTTGTAAAAGTAGAATATTTTTAGTCTATGCAACAGTTAAATGTAAAAGCAACAGCGGCTATCATGCATCGGACTTTCATCGCAATGTGTTTAAAGCTTTCTTGAAGGTTCTGTAACCAAAAATTTATGGTAATAAGAGACATTTGCATGGAATTAATAGTGAAATAAAACGTAATCGATACAGCTCCATATGGTTGTCTTGGTACACAAAATTCCCTCATTTATGTATAAACTTTTCTGTGTTTTGACTTTGAGGAATTTTGTCTCATACAAATGATTCGTCAGCTTTTGTGAAGAGATCTGATTGTAAATTATTATAAACCCGAATTTATTAAATAAATAGAAATATCTATCATTTCGGTTACATTGTAAGCCCTTTCCTCTAAAATAACATATGGGCCAGAACAAATTTTTATTAGGAATGTTTTACAATAAGAAATCACATTTATGATATGCAGCAAGAACTCTGCCTTTCTTCGCATTTTTATTCAATTTGAGTAGACTGACTAAGCAATAAACTTATGGAAAGGCTGACAACTGAGAAAAATTCTAAATCTAGAGCCGAAAACGTTGCTTGCTAGACTTTATTCTGAATCTCAGTATACAAATCATTAATGCTTTCATTTATATTTCAAGGCTATGAACAATATTTTAACAAGTATATTTCAATAAAACATGGTAATTTTTCAATGAATGATACAAATAGTCATGAGCTAAATTCATGATACCTTGTTCGAAGATTAGGCCTAACAGTCAAATCGTAATTAATTGGCTGATTGCTGATCTACTCTAATCACCTATGACATTTTATCTTTTTTTTTCTGTGTTCATATACCGTATATAAGCATCCTATTCTATTACGTTAAAAATCTATTCACGTGGATATTGATTTTGGGTTTATAATCATTAGGGGGCTTAAGTCAGTAATAAAATCTCGTGAATAATCATTATTCGGCTACATTATACTGTTGGGTTTATCTATCGACTAACATTTTACTCACTGATTTTAACAACTAGGATTTCACTTATCAACTATGGGAAATCTCTTCCATAACAATTCTTGTGACTTATTATTTAGTGATATGAAAAAAAAGCGATACCTGTTCTTGTGACTCTCTCTTCTAAGACGATTACTTCTTTACCTTTGACAGAGCCATGATTTCTGAACAAGCAAAAATTCTCCCCATTTTATGTACTAAGAATTTTTTTCATGGTAAACAATTCATTTCTATTTGTTGGTTCTACATGGTGATTTTTCAGTTTTCAGTTAGATCAAAATAATACCTGAAAATTTTAAAGTAGGTTTTAAAATTCGAAACAAGTTTATTATTATTTAACAAGTATAAGAATTAAGTTTGAAGTTCGGTCAATCAAAATCCCGTATTACTAAGTAAACTATACCAAAAATGTGAAGAATCTTTGTAATATGTTGTAAATGATGACGTAATTGCCTGATATATATATATATATATATATATATATATATATATATATATATATATATATCATGTACATAATGGCTAAAATTATAAGAGGTGAAGCTGTAGGGTTTTGACGGAAGTTGGGAACTGAAAAATAGGACAATATACTATGTAATACCCGTATTGTTTGTCTGGTTATTGAGTTGGAACTAATCCCAACATGACAATAAATTATTTTAGCTTAACTTTCACATTAGTTATGAGCTTACGTTGTTAAATATAGAATGTTAACGGAATGCGTCACAAACTTTCCACCAACCATTATTACTTATTTTTAAGAGGTCTGAGGCTTTCTGGACCAAGCAGTGATAAAATTATTGCGAGGGATTTAGGCTTTTGGTTTATATGAGTCATTGTGTCGTCACGAACTACATGACAACAAAACAGTAACTGATTATTTGACGAATCCGTACGGAAGTTCAGATTACAAGGACACGTTCAACCACTTTTAAATTCTTTTAAAAAGTTCTATCTACAAGGGGTGTTGAGAAATTACTAAATATTCCCTCTATATTATTCTTAAATAATTGACAGTTTTTAATACAATAAAATTATGATATCTGTATGTTATTGAACAACTGAAGTTCTGGCCAGATTAATTATTAAGAACCTGTTGATAGCTTTTAATATGTAAGCAATTGTTGACATGAAATTAATTCACTTATATCTGATTGGCTGATACAGTGGACACTATAAATGAATATCTAACCAATCATTAGTGAGGGATTATTTAACTTATTTATCACTTTATTTGCCAATTGGACATTGATGGATTCGGTTCGACGTAATGTACATCAACATTATGGTTGGGGAAATAGGATAGTCTATTTTCTTGCTACTAGTTTAATTATCATCTCAAGTATTTCAGAACTTAGAACACAGTGGCACAACGACGGACACTTAGCTTTCTTAGAAATAAACATTGAAAATTTAAATAAATGAAATGCAGTTCTTCATATGGAATATTCCTATTGAAATGTCACTGATTATTTTTTTTATTTTGTCATTGTTTACTGATCGACAGATTTTTCCAATTAATGTTTACACTACAGGATTGATTTTAGCGAGCGATAGTGTAGAAGACAATGCTACTTCCATTTCATTAACTAATTACCGTCCGAATATTACACTTGGTAATAATAATAATAATGGAAAAGATGAATTAATTTCAGATAAATCTAAAAATGGGATATGGGCTGCATTACCAAAAAATATTGATCTACTACATTTTCTTCAAGTGAATACCAATGACAAGGCGGTTACACAAGGAACTAATTTACTTCAAATGGTAACTGATCAAAGTAAACCTAAATTTCGAAGAGAAAGTAGTCGACAAAAATTTTCATTCAAGCGTCGTAGTTCACAAAAATATTTATTCGATAACGATCATAATAACAATATCAATAAGAATGATCCACTTTATAGTAAAACTAGACCAAGATTTCCAAAGGCTTTTAATTATGAGAATTTTACATGTCCAAATGAATGTAAATGTCATCATGCTGAGGTTGAATGTAAAAATGCTCAACTGGAATCTATTCCATCAAATATACCATCGTATACTGAAAAATTGTAAGTCATTATATTTAGCTTATTTCACTCAAATTATTTAACAATAATTATAAATGAACATAACTATTTTTCCTTTGGTTGTAAAGATATTATTTAATTTTCTTGTTTGTCAGAGATATTTCATTTCTGCTGTTTATTATTCTTGAACATTTATTCATTAGGCGAGGTTAATCTATGGGTACATCTATATACAGTAAGTTCCAACGAAGTTTTCTAACCACCATATTAATGTTCATGGTCAGATATTAAGATCTGTTGAACATTAAATAACTGTCATTCTCATCACTTGGTTCGTCGGTACTGTATTTGGGGTTTTACTTTTAACATGGCATTTATTGTAAGTGTAGTTCAATGGAATTTTAGTGCTGTTTTGTTCTCTGAGCCACATGGTTTCATTTCACAGCTTTCTTTGCCATTCTGGATATCTTCAGCCCTTATGTCTATAATAAAAGCTCTGCAATTAGCCCATTTAGCTCAGAGAACACAACATCACCAAAAGCATCCACTTGTATCGCAAATCTTCATAACTTCGGATGACAGTGAAATATAAATTGATGGTTAATGTGAATTTTGTACTTATAATGCCTGCTCTCTACCGTCATCTTAGTAAAAAATGTCGTTATATGTGCTACCATTAGAGTAAAGACTTTTAAAGTAATATGTATTTGTGTAAATCAACAAAGGTGAGATATCTAAAGGAGAGAAGAATGAAGTTCTGAGAAAGAAAATACATTAAGAAAAGGCTTGCTATTTATAATGAGAAATATTGTTTTGATAAACTCTGTATAGATTTTATGATAGATATATATTGTTTTAGATAACCAAATGCAAGAAGTTTGTACTTCACTTTTAAAAACCACTGGTCAGTCAGTCAGCTACAACGTAGGACCAGGCACGTATATGCATCGGTCCACTATGTTTTAAACTGTCTCCCACACTTTTATTTAACATTTTTATAAACAAAATTTCACACTGTAGACAGTAGCTTGACGTGTATAGCACAAAACTTAGTGGTGCAATTTCACAGCGTTATTAGCTGAATTACCTTACTTCTGATACCATTTAGCACACTCAGTGGTTCCCATACGTAGGAGCAACTTTCGGAAGATATTTATGGTTAAACGTCTGCTATCTACGAAAAATCCATTCAACTTATATCTCACAGTCACAAAGTGATAAAGTGTAGACTGTATCATAGGAAGCTCGAATGTTTACCTGAGTTTCGTGTGACGTAGAATAATAAATGTCAGTTAAGCTTACTGCGTTAGCCAAGTAATCAGTTTATCAGAGTTAATGCGGCAAAAAAGTAAAATGGTTTGCAAATGAACTTACTAGACGCCCTATCCTGTAACTCTGTATTGGTCCAGACAAGTTCTGAATGAGTGTCTTGCATTTGTTAAGCCTACGAAGCTTTCACATTTTTGAAGAAATTCAGATGAACCTGCTTATTGTGTCATCTGTATATTATATAGCTATTTGGGGATCTAAAAGAAAATGATCAACTCTAGAAATTCTTTTGCGACCAACATATCCACATCATGATTAATAGGTCTGATTTCATTCTATATTCTGTGCTTAAAATTATGTATATTGTGTAACAGTCAAGTCTATTTTACAATCTGTACATCATAATGAATCATTTGACCACTGTCTGATAAGTAATTAGTTATTTAAAATGGCATCATATGTAAACTATGACCAATTTTCCAAATGAAAATGTCTACTTCAGAACTTTAGTTTTACACTTCTTATGTGTATACATTACATCTATATGCATAAAGAAGTCATATTTAACAAGACAAGTAGTCGTTATTCGTTTATTCACCGTTTATATTTGAATGAAAAAATTCCATTTATGAGCTATCCTATGTACCTGTACATATATTCCTGTTTAGAATATTGATAAACAAAAAGCCGTTTATGAAAAAAATATAATTCCTAACTAAAATTAATTATTCGCATAATTCAATAGATAGATTTGTGTAAGCAAGATCAAACTAGACAAATAGATTCTGTTAATCCAACTATTATAGTTTATACAACAGTATCAGGTTAAATCATGGTAGAAACTATGATAAATGACTTTTATTTATAGATTTTCGCCGTTGTAAACTATCTTGAATAACTGATAAAGCCAATAATCAGTCATAATTTACTTCTCGTGAATAGAAAATATGATTTGTTTGCATAACTTGTACCTTGAGGTTTTAAAGTCCATTGACAAATTTGATGTTAGATAGGTTTGAGAATATTGAAATCATATAATAACAGTGCAAAAAGGTTATGTAGCTGTTTGGGATTGGATGATAACTCAACTGTAACTCAAATGTCAAACCTGTATTGCTCAAAGGCTATCAAAATGAAGTACTGTACATTTAAATGTGGTTAGAACAATAATCATAATTTATGACGGGTCTATTTAGTAAAATCTATAACACGATAGTTCAGACGCATGGACTGGAAAGTTAAACCAAGTAGTTAAAACAAAGTAATTCAACAAATAGAATAAGAGCCTATCCCTTAGGAGTCGAATGACTCAAAGCCATTTATGAATAATGAAAACATAGTGGTATAAAGCAATTCATAAGTACAGTAATGAACTCAAAGCTGGTTTATGATATGAGTAGTTAATACAGATCATGACAAATCTCAATCGTAACATCAAATTGTAAGAAGAAAAAAAATTTATCACTGATGGTATGTGTACGTCCTTAATAAGCGTAAATCGTTGTTTAATACGAGATGCACAACAATGTATGTTTTTGTTTTGAGCTGAATAGTAGAGGTATTCACTTTATACTACAAAATAATATCGTTCACATAATCTCTTGTACTAGATTAATAATCTCAAAGTTTATAGGTTTATTTATCAATACAAATATAAATGGTGAATAAATACTGTCGATATTAAGCAAAGAAAAGAAGTACTATAGAATTTCTCACTATTTCATGGTTAATTATCTTACGATAACACAATAATAAGTGTAGTTTTAATAGAAATTTTCACCCAGTTATATGATAACATAAATGTGTCATTTGTAGTTTCATATACTTCTTTTCGCAAGTAATTATTCGTATATAGAAGTTCTTTACAATTCATCTATCTACCTTTATGATTATTAATAAAAATAGAGTAAACTATTTCAGCATTTATGAAAATGGGATAAATTCTTCTTAATTGCTTGGTTTACACTTGATTGTTTATCATATTAAAATATATAAATATATTTCCACTTAGCTAATAACAATAGTAATCATAATGATAATAATAATTAAATTGAATACACTTTCTGTCAAATATTCAATGAAACAGTCGTTCAATACTTCCAGGTTTTCCATGATGGTTTAACTTCAATTGACTCATGATCTCAACTATTAAAATTAAGTGAATCATTGAGAGAAATATCAAGTAAACTTTGGAATAGTTCAATACTGAAAATAAAAATTCCTTTTTCACTTCCTTCACCTGGTTACATACATATATCATTAAACCATTTAGGTTATTTCAATAATTTAAAGAAATTAATACTTTCATTTCTGTATAAGAGTTTATTAAAGAAAGTAATTACATGACTTTTATTCTTGTTTGTATTACTTAAGTCTTTGTTCATATTTGTCTTGTTGGCATTGTTTACAATGTTATTTATGTTCCAGAATATTCATAGTTATCGATATACTCATTGATGGATTCTTTATTTTATCTTATTGAAAATTCATTCATCAGTCAATTAACAATAAATTATGTAGGGAATGATCAAGTACCTTGTCTCTCTTATCCATCCTAATTCTTTTCATTGTATGAATTCTACATAGATTCATTCATCTTTGTTTCGACTGTTATTTACTTATAAAGATGCAGAATAAATAGCTGATGACAACTGTATGGTCTCATCAGTTCATCTATGTTTACAGGTACTATAGCCTTTTTTCTGTCTCTCCCTTTAACTCTCTATCTCTCCCACGAACGCACACAACTAAACATGACACCGTTTAACTCACTATGTGTTAAACGGATAGCTGCACAAACTAATTAAGCAACACAATCAAAACCATATTTCAAAAGTTAAAATATTGTGAAACATTCAACTTTAGCATTTTTTTTTCATTTTTCCTTAACATTCAGGATTATCATCAATCTTTTTGTGTATTTGTGTATGTTTTCTAAAATAAGTGTGTTTATTTTCTATTCCTGTGAAAAAGGAATATTGTTGAATGTAATTGTTATTATTATTATTTTGTGTCCATAATAGATCAGTCATTTTTAAATATCACAAATATCTCTCTCAAAAGTGTATATGTAACTAAAATCTAAAGTAGAAGAACTATATGAAGAAAGCATAGATGCATTAAATCACCTTTTCATTTCTACCAACTATCTCTATTGTTTTTGGTTTTTTCACATTGGAGACCAATTCAATCAAATTGTACCAAAACAAAGCAATCATCTAACGCGAAACTCTCTCTCATACAAACACACACACAAGTACATATTCTCATATGCACGTATGGTGTAAATAGGACAGTGAATGGGATTTACAAGAAAATATGTCTTTACGTAGAATAAAGTAATTATTATTAATTCATACAGCACTGTCAAATGTAACAGCACTAAAACGGGGATAATGGATAAAACAGTAGGAGTAAATAGACCGTGGAATATTATATATATAAAACACATGATAAGTAAATTGAGGGTTAGGGATAAAAATTAGTATGTGTCTGTGGTAGGTTTCTAAATGGATTTTTAAATGAAATGGCAACCAAATGTTTGATAAAGTAAAACAAACATCACAAAGAAATTTCGCATTAGAATTAATCAATTGGAATTTTTCACATTTGACTTATGATAACAGAGTGACCTAGATAAACTTGATATCATTGGTTAATTATCATATGAGTATAATTAATGACTAGACCTTACTATTAACTTAAACCTTAGTCATCTTTCATATGAAGATGAAACTAGACTGTGCATGAACATCTCAAAATTATAGAATTTA